GAAGCAGCCCGGCCTGATGGCGCAGATGGCCACCACGGCCGCGGGCGTGGCCGTGGGCTCCGCTGTAGGCCACACGCTGGGGCACGCCATTACAGGAGGGTTTGGAGGAGGAAGCGGCTCTGAGGCTGCAAGGCCCGATATTACTTACCAGGTGACTGGGCTGCGAGCCTGACTAACGCATGCTGCGGAGGTGCCTGGGCTGGGGGTGGGCCTCTGTGCTGCATAGACGCCCCGGGGCATGTTTACACACCTCATTAGGGAGCTGTGTCCCCGTGTATCGGCATCCCCCACACTGAAAAAAATGCTGTCCCTTACATCCCCCGATGAGCTTCAGTTCAAAGTGTCCTGCCGCCATTTTTCAGTGCACGTGATGCTGGAGGCTGCTTGAGCACGGTAACTTCCACGCTCCAGCAAACGCGGTTAATCAAGTGCTCCGACATGCTGGGTTTCCAGTGTGTCTGAGCCGGCTCCCCGCGTGTCTAGAGTAACTTGATGTTCATGGTGGAGATGCTACAGGTTTGACGTCTTGGGGAATAAGGTTTTAAAGATAAATATTCCAAGCCCTTGGCTGGTGGACCTGCACACAAGAGTTTCTCTCTGTTGCCTTCTAGTCAGAAATAGTATCTAGCTATCCAGTTTAACTTCAAGCGAGGCTCAGATTCCAGCAGTTGTTTGAAATGAGAATAAAATGATGATGTTACAAACAAAACCTCCTTGCTCTTCTGAAATCAGCTGTGTGAGGAGTTAAAAATGAGCTTTAAATGGTTTTAAAAATGAGCTTTTAAATGGTTAGCACCACTACTTAAATACCTCTTTGTGTAAACCGCTGCCACTTCTACAGGCCAAAAATACTAGCTGACTTATCAACTAGGATCATAAATAGAAGGGGAATAAAAGTTCCATACAGCTTCACTGAATCTGAATCCTCTCAATGGGAGGGAACAGAAATCCATGTGGAAAGCATCTGAATTTGTTTTCAGGTTGAATACTATAGATACAATCCTAGCTTCATGGATTTCAGTGAGAGTTTGTCAGTTAATTTGAAAAGAGACTGGATTTTCTTGTCAGTTGCAGAGCTCCTACCTCAGTAGGATTCTGGATTCTCACACCTTGTGTTTAGATGCATCTAACTTGTGAACCAAATGCTGTCCACTCCAACAGTAGCTTATTTTTCCTCTGAAACCGGTAGGGAGTGCAAGTCTGCACTAATTCCCACTGATATTGCATTTCTAAAACCTTGACTCTGCTGCTGTGGTTTCTTTCAGGAGCCTCAAGCAGCCCAGCCTGCTTACCAGCAGCAGCAATCGCAAAATGGCCCTTGTCTGTATGAGATGAAGCAGTTCCTGGAGTGTGCTCAGAACCAGGCTGACCTCAAACTGTGCGAGGGCTTCAGTGAAGTGCTGAAGCAATGCAGGTTTGCTAATGGTAAGTAATTTTATTTAGTTATATAGTTTGTCATACATTTCCTTTACTAGGTATTTAGTCACTGCAGTTAATTATTATGGTCATATTATTCTATGGCCTTTATTTGATCTCTTGGATACCAGAAAGATGCAGGGGTTTAATTCTAGTCCAGTAGTTCACAACCCCATTTCTGGTATAGTCCTGACTTCATGAACTAAGCTCCTGCATGGAAATGGGGTTTGCAACCCTTAGCTTGGTAGCTGCTGCTCCTATTTATTTGTGACTTCAAGTTTTGATACTTGTGCTAAATACCTGGCCTCTAATCCAGAAGTGGTCCACAACCAATGTAATAATATCCCCTCTGGCTTGTCTGAATCCAATGTAGGCATGGGAACAAGGGACTTGCACAAATTTTTCACTTGCCTCCTCTGCTGTTGCACGTCTGTCTGAAATTAGAAGTGGGAGTGGTAACTGAAATGTATTCTAGTTCTTTTTAAAGGTGTGTAAAGCACAACTACAGTAGTCAGGTACCAATGTTGTGTTGCCACTGATTGGGGCTACTTGTTTTGGAAGAGAAATTGCCAGTTGTAAAAATAGGCTTGCGTTAAAAATGACTAGTGTCATTCCACAGAACTAGTCTTCACAAATCTGCGGTGTGCGCCTTATTTGATTTAAAAAAAACGCAGATCTGCCTGTAGATTAAGGTCTGGTCTTGTTCAGATCAAAATCCAGCTTGTTATATTAATCTTGTCACTCTGTCTTTTACAGGTTTAGCGTAACTGAATTCCATGGGGTGAAGAAGCTAAAAATCAACATTCAGAAGTTCTAGTTAGAATGAAAATTGCTTCTTTACTAAAATTTAAAGCTATCTGACAACCATCTTGTTAATTCATTTATTAACCATGTGTCCTATGACAGAACACTAGAGGGCCCTCTAGTCTCTCCTTCTGTTTAGTTCCAAACATGAATGATTGGAACAAGATGATTCTAGAAGTCCATGAAAGGACTAATATAAGATGCAAAAGATAGACTTCATCAAGGTAGGCTAAATCTAAATGGTCTGTTCTGGTTTACGTGGCTTCAATGTATGTATGTGACAGACTAAATAAATATCTCTAATGAGTCTCATTGAGAACTTGGAGTCAATTTTTCTCTTTCTGGAATAGGAGCTGCAAGTAGATCTTTATTAAAGTTTCTTTATTGCCAGTAGTGTTGCTGTGATGGGAAAAGATATGGGGGCCCTCTCCATGGGGGGAAGAGCTAGCTATACTGTCAAAAGAGCTCATTTCATATATGTAGACTTCAGTCTCTTACCACCACAGTGACCTTCAAGCTTTTATTAGAAAACTAAAACTAGCACAACAATTGCCTTTGTTCTTAGCTAGAAAATCTTGGAACATGGTTATTGAGCACTCCAGGGCAAGATCACTTGGGAGCCTCATGTAGGCAACTACTGTGCCAAACTATCTGATCCTCACCATTGAGAACAAGTGATGATTTTTTCCATTTGCGTTTTAAAGCTAAAACACTCTAATACTGTCAGATCATGAAGAATATCTAATTTTGGTTGCCAGGTCTTTATTTGTGTTGCCTAGCTACTGATAATGAGCATTTGATTTCTCCTCGAGTACAACACTTCAAGCTTGTCCTTATTAAGTGTTACCTTGTTATTTTCAGACTTCTCCCACCAACCCCAAATTGTCAGGATCACTTTAAATTCTAATCCTGTCCCTCAAAGTGTTTCCATCCCCTCTCGGCTTGCCATGAACCACAAGTTTTTGTAAGCGTTTCCATTGTCTAAATTGTTAATGAAAACATGGCAAAGAACTAGACCCAGCACAGAGCCCTGTGGGCTATCACTTGAAGTGCCCTCAAAGTATGACAGTAACCCACTTGCAACTACTTTTGAGTGCTGTTTTTAACCAGTTGTATATCCACCTCATAATATAGACCATATTTCATTAGCTTGCTTATAAAAATGACAGGTGGAAGCCTCAAAAGCCTTACTATAATGAAGATACCATTTATTGCTCCTTCCTTTATTCACTAAACCAGTCACCATAATCACCTGCTATCAAAGGGGAACCAACAGAAAACAATTTGCAGAACAGTGCTTTCTCAAGCTACAAGCTTTCATTCATGGACTGTGCACCACTTACAACACAAGCTTGTGGCAGGACTCATCAAGGTTTAAATGCAACAAAATGCTTTGCTTGGTATTCTCTGGCTATTTTTCCAGGATATACACCAGATACAACCTGTGGTGGAGAAGCTGAAGCAGTGCATCTTAACATAAGATAGCTATGGGCTGAGCTAATGGGTCATGTCTCCACCACTGGGAACACGTGCTTTGTAGTACCTCAAACACTTTTGAGGTACCGAAACGCACACATAGCACACGTGAAAAGGTTCTCCAGGCTCCATATTTGCAGTGCAGAGAACTAAAATTAGATATCGAGAAATCCCAATACTTAAAATTAAATAGGGCAGCGCACATGGCTGCAGTGTGTGCTGCCTGAAACTGGAGCCTGGGCAGTCAAAGCTGCACTCTGGCTGCCAGGCAGGCTCTGTGCACCCAGATCGCCACCACTAGCCCTGGGAGGCTGTCAAGATCCCAGATAAGGCTGCTGGGGCAACCCAGGTGCTGGCACCAGCTTTCCCTATTTCACCCAGGGCAATTTACTGTGTACCAGATTGTGTATGCAGGGGTGTTCCCCAAGGACAAGTAGCAGTGGCACAATTATGTGCTGCTATTTGTCCCTAGGGAAACACATATGCATGCTTGTGGGGGATGTGCTCATGGTGGGTGCCAACTCATTAGGCCCTTAAGATTGGCCCACAGGGCTAATTGTGGGTTAAAACCAGACCCACCTCCTGCAGCAGGATTAACCACAGTGAGTGCAAGCCACTGTGTTGGCCGAGAGCTGCAGAGCTTCATGCACCCTTGCTGAAACAATCCCAAAAGGAGTTCCAAACCCCAAAATCTAGCAGTAGGCACCACCTCAGCTCCCCAACTTCCAGTCCTGCTAGGAAATGTGGGCCAGATGACAGCTCCACAGGCTAGAGACAGCCTGTTTGACACCCAAACCATGTTTGACACACCTGATTCAGCCAATAGTTGCAAAGACTTGTTGGTTATATGTAGGAATAGTGATGGTTAACATTTCAGAGATTGAGAAGATGGTTTCAAATGCCTCTTTCAACACCAACCCAGCCCAGCCTCTGGCTGCTTTACTTTTCATTCCATCCAGGAAGAGCGCACACCAACTGCAGAAGCTTCCTTAGCCTGATGTAGGGTTTTTGAACACAAAAGCTTGCTTAATAACTATTCTCCAACTATTTGGGTTGGTCTAATAAAAGATATCAAATTCACCCAAGGAACCTTGTCTTTCAACACCACTGATTTTACGTTACAATGACAGTTGGAAAATGAGGAAGAGCATGCAGGACAATTGGAGTGTGGTTGCTGAGGCTCCTGCCTTCTCAGTTTCTTACTGCCCCAGCTTTATTGGCTTCTGCATGATTATCCAACTCCTGGCTAAATTTTGTTAATGCTCATGCCAAGGTTAAATAGTTTCTACACTTTGTATAAATTTATCAGACTTCTGATTAGTAGTTGTTGTAAATAGACAAAACTGTTTGGAGAGAACAGTGATTCCTTTAGAGAGACTACTCAACTTGCTGGGGACCACGCAAGAGACCAGCTTAAGCACTGCTGTGGACTGAGTGGTTTCTGTTCACCTCCAAGTCAGGTAACTCCCGCTCTCTCCCTGCCCTCCTCTCTTAAACTGAAATTAAATTAAAGCTGTAGCAATGTATGTACGTGTCTGAGTCTGGCATTGCTTCCAAGTTGCATTGCAATTTATTTTTGGCTTTACAGCACTCACACAGAAGCTGACCCGCGATGAGTTAGCAGCACAACTGAAGGCTGGTATGTTATTCTTAAACTCAAAGTTGTCTGTTTCTTAGAAGCTTTTTTTTTTTACTGTGTGGTTCTCATTTGATTCCTGATCAATGAGCCAGGAAGATTTGACTTAACAGTAGAAGACAGAAATTCTGCAGGGAGGTAATGGTAAGTAGCAACCTACTGCATCTAGAAACAGATCTCTTTAAAAGCAAACAAGCATTATGAGCAGGAAAGGAGGTGATCTGTGAAGCAACAGGAGGGTCACAAATCTTCAGAATACATTTTGTCCTGATGTTTTCGATAACATCTCACTGCAAAAAGTCATCTTCAATATTAAATTGTAAAACGTACCTACCTAATATTCATTCTTGTCCAGGAAGCATGAAGACCCTTTTGATGCTATAAAAATAGTCATCTTGCTGGAATTGAAAACTTTTTTAAACCTACATTTGCACGCTAAAACCAGCAAGATTTCTGATGCCGAAGTATTTTGTTTAGTGTGGATTGATCCTGCCTTTGGAATAGATTTACCTAGTCTGCTGTTGTATAGAGTGACTCCATTTACTGCACAGGTTTAAAAGTAGAATTTGCCCTATTAGTTTTAGCTAATGAGAGTTATTCCTTTGCCAGTATGTTACTGGTAAAAGTATATTTATAGTATTTAAAAGGTGTTTAATCAAGAATTGAGACTGACAACAGTTCAGAGAAATCCTGCTCCTGTTTCAGGCTTATAAAGTTTCTTAATATAGGGATGTGGGAGAATGCAAGATACAGCCTTGGGAAGTGTTTCTCTATCAGTTCCAATGGAACTTTTCCTTTTCCTGCTCAATAGTAATGTTGCTTAGACAAAGGGGATTCTTAATAGCACAAACACTACTACTGAATTGTCCTGCTCGTCTATAACAGCTGCCCATAAATTGGCCAGGGCATTTTAAACCAGCTTTGTTGGGTCCACATTTGCTGCACCTATTGAAGTTTATGGGTAAGAGGAGCTCTTCTCTCCACTAAACCAGACACGTAACAAGTCTGGTCTTACAAGGTTCTGAGGGTGTCCAAGGAGGAATCGAGCATCCTTAGCTCCCACTGCCACCACCTCTGGTGCTGGGCATCTACTTCGATTATACCCTAGAACATAGCTTCAAACTACTTGAAAATTTGCTTTGAAAATACTAGGAAATTTGCTTTGTATTTGAAAGTTATAAAAAACTGAGAGCTCGTTATCTGAACCCTGATCTAACATAACCCATCTGCTATAAACATTGCTTACGGGAGACTTATGGGAGCTGCACAAGTCTCAGTGTCTCACTGTAACTGAAGTTTATGCCAGTCAGCAGAATATCTTCCTAGTGCAAGCTGCAGCTCAGATGTCTTCCAGATCTGTGATTGTGATTCGGTTTGTTTTCCTCTGAAATGTTGTTTCATTTAAAAAATTGACTCCCAAACCACTTGAGAAAATGTCATGCTTACTGATTTACTTAAAAGTCATGACCTGGCTGGGAGTGCTCGGAGCACTCCCAGCCAGGTCATGAGGCGCTACAGGGATTTGGGAGCGGGGCTTAAGGGTCTGGGCGCACAGGTAGTGTTCTCGTCGATCCTCCCAGTCTCAGGCTATGGGCTGAGAAGGGACAGGAGGATCTATGTGGTCAACCAAAGACTGCAGCGCTGGTGTCGTCAGGAAGGCTTTGGCTTTCATGACCACAGCCC